GTAGAAGACATCAGGGAATGAATTATAAAGAAGGTGATGTCTGAATTAAATATTTTAAGGATGAGATGATAGCAGGTGCTTGCTGGAGAAAGGTACCACAGAAAAGGAGCGTATTCTAGGCAGAGGAAACCATCTGCAAAAGTAAAAGCATGGCAACTTGAGGGAACGTGTCACACGTGGGGTACTGAGGCAATCTCAAGTGATGGAGAGCACAGGAAGGATTCAAGAGACGCTTAGGAGGTGGAATAGACTGGGATAGAGGTGAACTGAATGTGGAGCACGTGGGGGAGGTCGTCAGCCTGACTCCTGGATTTGGGATTTGAGGGCCTGAGTGAGTGGTGGTTCCATGAACTAGAAAAGAACGATGAGACAGAAAACTGTTTTGAAACAAGAGGGGAAAATTGATGAGCTCTGTTTTTCAGACTTGAGTTTGAGGTTCTCTTGATACACATAAGCTGAAATATCTGGGAGACCATCTGAAATACTGACATAGAACTTAGGCAAGAGGTCTGAGCTAGAGGATTGAGATTTACCAGCAGGTGGTAGTTGAAGCTTTGGGTGAGGATGAGTTTGCTCAGAAAGAATGAATAAAGAAGAGAGAATGATTAAAAGTGGGATCCTTAAAAAAAATATCTGAGGAGATGGGCAGACCATACAAAGAAGAATGAGGACGGGTGCCCTGAAAAGGAAGAAGATAAGGGAGCCAGGGGAAGAGTGAGGGTGAAGGAGACAGGAATAATCAAGAGCATCCAAGTGGAAAATGACCAAGGTGTCCACTGGATTCAGCAGACGTCATTGATGAAGGCAGCAAGCATGGTTTCTAAGGAATGGTGAGAGTGAAAGCCAGACAGCGGGGGTTACAGACTGACTGCTAAATGAGGAAGTGGAGACTGCTTTTTCAAAGCAGCACGACTGAACGGTGGGAGAGCGGGTGACAGACTATAAATAGCCAGTAGAGCAGTACAAAGCTGCCTAACTCACTAAACGAGTTAACACGGAAACTGAGCACACAGAACATCACAGTTAGTAACTCACCACAGGAATTCCTTCTCCTGCGCAAACTAATTCCCCACTAGTGGCTGGCTGACTCTGACATATTTTTAAGCATTAACCCCAGATCCCAAACCTTGAGAATATGGGCTTTTTTCACTGTCATTCACATTGTGCAGTCACTGGTGCTTTGTTGCAATATTTTTAGATGTGATTTTATTTGTTAATTTATTAGTTGATTTCTACAAATACCTCATATCTTTAAAAATAATGGTAAAATAATGGCTGATAAATTCACCACATTAAAATATATAGTTCAAAAATATTTTTCCAAAAACTCAGTAAGTTGCTAAGATCTAGCCATGTTTCATATTATTTTCTGAAAATACACTAAATATGAGATGATGTATCTAAATCATTTTTTAACTTTCAAACTGATAAAAGTGATCATTTTACTATCTGATGCCTCATACTGAGGAGGTTACACTGTCAATCTAGGGAATATTGATTGTAATCTAAAACTCTATAAGAGAGCAAACATTTCTAAAGCATATGGAACATTACATTAATCATAATGACTATTTATCAGAAAAGCTGACTTCCTTCACACATGATCAAGATATGGGATTTAGGTTACATCTGTAACCTTAGTTTTGGCCAGCTGGCTATAGCTGGGTGATAGCTTTAGATGTTTAACCTACATTTTTCATATCTGTGTAATAATTCAAACTTGAGGAAACTGAACTGGTTTCCTCTTGTGCCCTCTAATTCAGAAGGTAGTCTTTAAAAAATTAGCTCAATGCTTGCTATTAAAATATTATGGTATAGAAAATGTTGGTTCCACGTCCTTCTTTGTTTACTGTGACACACCCCAAAAATAAAGTTGCCAAGGTAATTACAAGATCTTATTACCATTTAGAAACTTTTGGCAATGTACCAACTGGTTAAAGGTTAGTAACACAAACAGATCTTGTGGGTATTTGCTCCAGCGTATGTAGGAATCCAGTGCTTTATTCCTACCAGAGTATCCCTTTAGAATGTAGGAGACTTCCTAATGTAACAGATAACCAAACGCAAGTACCTCTGCAACAAAATCATTCCAAAAATCTCTTTTACAAGGCATGCAGGCAGGAAAGAACTTGAGAGTTATTAAAGGTAATTAACTAGAGAATCTCAAATGTGCTCATCACAAAGAAATCATAAATTTTTGTGATGATGAATATGCTAATTACCCTAATTGGATCATCACACATTGTATACATGTATTGAAATATAATTCTGTACCCCATAAATATGTACAAGCAATACGTGTCCAAATATATAAATTTTAAAAAATAAAGATAATTTACTATTAAGTAGATGAAATGTCCTTGAACCTTATCACAGAGATTTTGTCTCTATTATCTGAGCCTGGATTTGTGGGTCATACTTTCACCTAGAGACATTACCTATGGAAGAATGTATCGCTAGATCTACAACCTGTCTACCATGACATCCACTATCTAGCCCATTGTGGAAACTCAACTAATATTTGTTCCACAAAATTGCAAATGATTTAATTACTATACTACTTTCAGTAGAATCTCAGACAAATTAGGCATCATCAACTCTGAATCCAGCAGATTGAGAAACTGTTGCAAAACATTCTATTATAGGGCCACACTACCTTACATACCACCAAGTTACCTTAGTGCATGAAAAAGATGTGAACTACGAATAGAAAAACCTTGGTCCCATCCTGGGTTATCTCCCAAACGGTACAAATGTGAGTGACTTGTGCCTACCTTCTAAGGCTTTTGTTCCCCCTTATGAAACTGGAATGATAACTGCCACCTCCCAGATGTGGCTGTGTGTCAGATGAGGCTGAATCATAGTCAGCTAAGGACAGAAGTGGAATCAGCAATCAGAGCCAAGACGTATAAAGTAAATGAGGAAGTTAAAATTCAGGTTAATGATTTGCCCAAGATCTAAGAGCAAATAGTTGGAAAGCTGAATTGGAGCTCTTCATAATAATTAAATAAATTATTGCATTTGTATAACAATTACATCGTACATAAAAAGTTTTTTTAGAAAAGAAATACTTTCAAGTAATGGCAGTGGTGAATTACATTATCATTGGGAAGTGTCCTTCTTGTTTAGGGCCCTGGAGATCATCTAACCAAATACCTACCTTTATAGATAAGAAACTGAAATTACAGTAACTTGAGTGAGAACTCAGGTTTCCTTTTTTCTATGAAAAAAATGTCATTTTATATGTAAAAATGCCTCATAAATTATAAAAGGCCTTAAAATATAAGTGGTGGAAATGGAAGTTGAGAAAGACAATGAACATGTGTAGGCTTTGAGATGCCGAATGTTGTAACTGGTTTTGGGACTATGTGGCTGGATGACACCTTTGGCATCTGTTTGCCTAAGTTATTTATTTATTTCTTTTTGGTGTATGAGAATGAAAAAATGGAATAGTATCTGTTTTCTGCCTACATCTGAGGGTCAGGACTTAAGTCTGCTTAGGAAAATAGATGAATTTTTGAAGTTGAAAAGAATTTTCCTAGGAAGTTTATTGTGAGATTCAGGGCAAAAATACCGCCATTTTGGATATAGACATCTAAGTATGAAACTGACAATTGTACTTTGGGCATTAATATTATTGTGATCTCAACTGTACACACAAACTGATGTGATCCAAGACAGTACTATTATACATTAGCAGTAATAAAACTATAGGTGCACCTTAATTTAGAGAAACTGATGAAGTTTATACCTTGGGGTCATTTTCCATACCATTTATAACCTTAGTACATGTAATCTCTATACTGTTGCCAAATTAATGTTGCTGAAGCAGAACTTTAACTTTAACTGTGTAACTAGGCTTTTCAGAATCCTTAGTGCCCCTCTCCCCTCTGCATATGGAATAAACTCTTCTGGCTTCTGTCTGCTGCTTTATCCCAAAATATTGTCCAAGGAGATGCAGTAAAACAAAATGCTTAGGTGAGAATCAGCTATACTGAGAGTCTAATCCTGGCTTTACCGTTTACTGTCTATGCAACCTTGAACAAGTTCCAAGTCTCATGCTAACTGAAGCAGTCCACAGGTCAGGTCAGGTATCAGCATTACACAGTCTCCATGTAATGCTTGGCCCAGAAATGTTAGGAAAAACAATTAGAATGATGATGTATGTGGTGTGATGTGAATGATGATCATGAGGAGAAGGAGAAGTTTACAAGTTCTGTGTTTTCCTGCCTTCTTTGCTTTTGCACATAGTTTTTCAGTGGCAGGAAATGCCCTTTATTTCTACTATGAAAATCTTACAAAGTTTTAAAAACACAACTTAAATCCTACCTACTAGGGTCTAGCACAGGTCCTTGTCATAGTAATAATGCTTAATAAGTGTACCTGATATTAGAGGGGTCTATTTTCCTGGAAAAAAAAAACATAGGTCAGATGTAATATACTATGCCTTTAAGATAATACTTGATACTTGTACTTGTGCCTTTTCTTCTAATAACCCAAAGATACTTGAAAAGTGTGAAATAGTATGGTATAGATATGTGTGTGTGTGAATGCTAACATTCTCCCCCACCCCAAATTCTTCAGCAGGCTGTTTAGACGCATCCTGTGTCCATTTTAAATTCTAGAACCTTTGATTGATGGGGGAATCAATTTCCTCTTCAAGTTATATTTTCCCACACACAGTTAAGGACAAAAATAATTGGAGGAAGCTCTGTTCAGAGAGAAGGGAAATATATTCAAAATTATTTAATTTCTGTTCTGTGGTAGGAAGAACTAAATCACTACCCTATTCTAAACCTAACAAAGAAAATAAAAACTTTGAAGTCCCTCTTTATGTGTCATTTCATTATTTGCCAATTGGTCATAGGATATGATTCCGTCTCACATAACCTCTCTCCAGTGTGTCCATAAGGTGATTATCTTCAATATCACATACATCTGATTTGATCTAAAAACAATCTGCTTTCCTGTAGACATCCATGTGTGTATATGAAACTTACAGTGCCAAGGTCGATGATGAAGCAGTCGCCCTTGTTGAAACTGTCCCAGCTGAGGGGAACTTCTGTGGCCCTGACCACTCTCCGACCCTTCACATGTAGGAGCCTCCTGGCCGTCAGGTCGTTGGTGAGAACATGATTTAGTCCAGATGCCACACCTCCAGCCTGATCAGTGGGAGGAAGACACAACACAAAACAAAGAAACTGATGATGCCTCGAAGCAGACACGGCAAAGCATTAAACTGCAGGTGTTTGCCAAAATTGTGTCTGTCAGGACCAGCTAAAGTGTCCACCCAAGTGCATGTGGGAAGTTGAACATGGAGAAAAAATTCTTTGGTCAATCAACAGGTCTGTTTGTTTGTTTGGTCTCTGCTTATTTGGTCTCTTTTTTCTTTCTCTTTTAACAATTCAGTTTAAAATTGCAACTGTTTACTGAGAACCTCCAATGTATAAAACCGTGCTGCATAAACAAACAAACAAACAAAAGCCACGGCTCTTGCCCTTTCGGAACTAATGATTCCCAAATCACTGATGAGCAACATGGCAAAGAAAGATTTCTGGGAAGATGTGATAAGAGAGTCAGAGGTAACAAGTGTAGATGACAGCAGCCTGAGAACAGGCACCCAAAAGCACGCTCTGTCATGGGTGAGGACAGAGAAGGGCAGTCAAGTGCTGGCCACGGATTGGCTGCTCTTATGTACAGTCTTTGTCTTGACATTAAAATAGTGAAGTGCCTTCTTTGTTTTCTGGTAAACAGAGTTTAGAAAATATGTGAGGGCTGGGATATTTATACCTTAAGTTAGAAAAGATACAGTATCGTGACTGCACATCCCCAACCAAAACAAAACAAAACAGAATAAAATAAAATACAGCCACATCGAATTAAAGAAAGGATGAAGAAAAAATATTAACTGTATCGACTCCATCTTCTTGCATTATTTGCAATCATCTTTTATCTTTTCATTTTTTTCTAATTAAAAGTTAGAAAACATATCTTTATTTCCACAATTAATTATGAGGTAATGTGCATAATTAAGATGCAGTAAAAACAAAACTCTGTCATTGGCAGATCAAAGGCCTCTATGACAATGGTAAGAAAAACTAGCTATATAAATAATAATATAACATATATAACTTAATATAACTTCTCTACCAGTAAATAAAATAATCCAACTTTCAAATTTGTAGTATCAACATATACAGTAAATCTAAAATAAGAGGTTAGGCAGCTTATGGAATCATTAGTACATTCTTTAAATTTCCACCATTCTCCAGGAAAAGACCCTCATAAGTAAAATGTTTTATTAGGATAAGTTAAATGTTGATTTTTGGACAATTATAACTTCAAAGTTTAAGAAATATATAATAATTTCCCATCCACGATAAGATAAAGATTGCCACATTTCTTGAATGAAGTCAAGTTTTCACCTATACACTACTATATTTGACAATTAATTTTTTTAAAAAGATAAACAGAAGTACACTGCAATCTGATTTAAAAATAGTGTAATAACACTGTGATGTGAAAGAAAAAGTTATAAAATATAGAGTAGACTTAGATGAAGATACATATGTAACATTCAGGCTAATATCATAGGATGAACCATCAGAGTGATAATATATAGTCTGTGAACATTTAACACTATTTTTAAAAATAAGTTTTTCTCTAATATTTGATGCCACAAATGCACAAAAGAAAAACTATATATGGCATATATGTATGTATCAGACAGTCAGTAGTTATTCTATGAATATTGTTTACATTAACCCTAGAAACTTCCAGTCTCTTTCTACTTTCAAAAGGCAGAATAAAAACAAAGTGAGCAATCCCCTAGGCCAGTAGTACCATTAATGCAGATGTTCCCACTGACAGATGTCTGATGGTTGCCATCTACCGTTGTGGTTAAGGACAGGGTCTTGTTGAGTTTAGGAAGAGTATGTTTGCCAGAAATTTAATGTAAAGTAGTAGTGGGAAGTAATAATCCTCTATAACTCCTTCCTGGGCCCCTAAAAGACCTGCATGAAATAACTCAAATCAACCAAATGAGACAGGAAAATAGTGTTAATGTTTTCTAGCTGAATCTTTATATACAGCAACTAAATATGATTTTTGCTGACTTGGTAATGGTAGGCTTTGTGAAGTTTTGCCCATCCCAAATAGACACAATACCCTGTTTCTTAGAGTAATTTTAAATAAAAAATTTGCCCCCAAATTTAAACTATTTATGTTGAGAGCACCACAGAATAATGATTACCAGCTTGGACACTGGAATCAGATGGTCACCCAGACACCTACCAGCTATAAGACATTGGCAAGTCACACAGCCTCTCTAAGCTTTGCTTTACTTATCTTAATAGATGATAGAAACTGCATACACCATTGTTTGTATTAAACGAGGAAATATACGCAAGGTGATTAGCACATTCCTGTGAGCTTGAAACTAATATTGGGGTAAAATCGAGTATAATAAATCACATTTGCTATTCTGGGTGGTAAGTTATCCCTGCTTCCATACTTCCTATGGAGTATTGTTGCAACTGCAGACATTGTCATCTGCTCAGTGTTACTGATGATAAGATGAACTGATTTTCTTCATGATAAACTTGACCTCCATTTGTAAATATCCTTTTCCTTAAAAATGCTGATTTGTGGTGGTTTTAATGTTATAATCAGAAAATAAATACCCAATCACTGTGAAATCACTTTTATCATGTCCACTTTTCAATATGTATTGAGAAGGTTGATTTCAAAAGTCCTGCTAACAGCCAGCAGAGTTAGTGATAATATTCATATTACTAAGTCCCTAATGATTGGGTACATACTGTATAGATATTTTATTTAATTTAATCCTTATCCCTTACATCTGTATGAGGAAGCTGTTATAATACTCATCGTAAATTTGAAGAAACTGACCACAGAAAAGCTTAAGTTCTTGCCCTAAGGCAAACAAGTCAAATGTGGCAGAAACGGGTTCCTAACCAGGATGACGTCACAGCACCCACTTTTAGTAAATACAAGACACAGCTTATTTAAAATGTTCACTGACCTAAAGGAAGTTTCAAGATCATTGGACATAAACTGGGTGTTTCACAGTGGTGTGTTGGACTTGCAGAGGGAAAAAGCATGTGTAGGTTTGTGGGGAGTGGGGAGGAAGGTCGGGGATTCATTGGCGGGGACATGGAGAATAATCACAATCTGTGGTAATGGACATCATGATACTATTAATCTGACCATTAAATACTGGGCACAGGTGGTGAAGGTCAGCTTTGTACCCCATGAATATGCATAGTCAATAAAATGAAATGATATAAAAAGTAAAGTTAAACCAAGTGGTTCATAGCCTAGAGTGAAATAATGATTTCAAAAGAGATAAGAGAACTTATAAGTAAGTGTTCTTTCCTGATTACAATGGCATGACAAAATTTTCAACCAATGTTCTGATCAAGTAGAGGTAGAAATAAACCCTGGCATCTTAATAGTAGAATTTAGTATATAGTCAGATTTCTAGTTTAGTTATGAGGTTTCAGGTCCTCACTATGGTGATACGCCTGAGGAGTGGGGCAGTGGGGTGTGCAGAACACCTGCTGGAGCATGTTTGATTTTGAGCAGGCTTGTTTCTGGAGTGTCTGTCTGGGGAGGGTATTCCTCACACTTTAACTGAACACACATGGGTGGGGCGGGGGTAGCAGTAATGAAGGATGGCTGGTCTACAAAAGTCACTGGGAGAATTAAAAAAAAAAATGCTATCCTTTACTAAAGGTAGAAAAGGCTATCCTTTATTAAAGGTTACCTAAAAGGGATAGAACTTTTTAACCATTAGTCTTTGCTTGTGATTTTCAGAAGTAAAGCCAATCGATAGGTGTTTCAGGCCAATACACATAAATTGTGTGTGTTCATGTGTGTGTTTGTGTTTGTGTAGCTAAATCGCACATATTTTCAGCTTAATTCTTTCATTGGTATCATTTTTAAGACCAAGCCACAATATTTGCAAAATGCATGTATAGGTCTTTGTATTAATTGAAAATATAATTGTTATGGGCCAGCCCGGTGGCGCACTGGAGAGTGCGCCGCTTGGGAGTGTGGCGGCGCTCCCGCCGAGGGTTCGGATCCCATGTGGAGACCGGTTCCCGCTCACTGGCTGAGCGTGGTACGGGCGCGACACCGAGGGTTGCGATCCCGTTACCGGTCAGTAAAAAAGACAAAAAGGAAAAAAAAAAAAAGAAAGAAAATATAATTGTTATAAATACTGCATTAAGATAGTAAAGAACAATTGAGATTCTTAAGTCTTGGGTTACTTGCAACAAACTTGGAGATTGTCTAAAACAGCAGATATGAAAATTGTTAAAAACCAAGTCACCAATATTTAATTACTGAAATAAATTTACAAAATATTAAAGGGCTTTCTTCAGACATAACTGAAAGCTCTTCACTTTCTTAAATATTATCCTATTAAAATAATCAAGTCAGAACATTTTACATATTGCACCGTATATTCCACAAACAATTATTGAGCACCTACTATGTGTCTAGCAGGTGCTGCGGATATATCAGTGAAGAAAACAGATTAAAACAAAAGCAAAACAGAACAAGAAGCCCAGCCCTTAATGAATCTTTATTCCATGATGGCATGAAGTATGTATGGGCAGGAGGAGAAAGGGGGTCATAATGGCAACTGAGAAAGCTGCTTACCTTGTATTTCAGACCTCCTTTGAAATAGCCCACAAAATCGGTAGATTCATAGCCTTGAAGTTCTCTGTTCTGCACTGGCTTACCACCCAAGTAGTCATCCATCTGAACAGTGAAGATGGCAGCGGCCGTGCTTTCATCCTGGGAACACTCCTTTCCTGCAACAGCCAATGACAGCATCTCAGTTATCACGCAAGAAAAAGGTGTAAGGCAGAATTTTCGATATAAAAACAATCAGAAATTTTCTTTTCAAATTATATAATCAATACAACAGATAGTCTTCTACAGAAAGACCTTTTAGCAAAAACAGTGTGGTGTAAGATTATTGTGCTAAAAACTACACAAAAATGTTTTTGTTCCTGCTTTTTCCAATTTCCTTACAAAAACTGAAAAGAAACACTGCTGTCTGACTATGCTTAGAAATATATAACAATATATTCCAGTGAGATTCAGGTAGGTGTTCATTTGGTACGGTCAATGAGGGTAAGTTACGAAAACACTTTTCAATTGGCTTAGCCTTTATTAGCATCAGTCTTTAGGTTTTAATATGCCAACATGTTATATTTGTGAGGAATATGAACATCATAGTCCATAATTAAATAACTTCAGGAAAACAAGTGTTTTTTAGAATAGGAAAATACATATAACCTGGCTTTACTTCTATTTTTGAGTCTGTTTCCTACTTTACTCTCCTATTGGTTTTGTTTTTAGGTTGAATGAAATAATATTCTCTGAAGAGAGAGAGTAAAGGAACTAGCATGGTAAAATTTATTAAATGTTAATGTATTTGATATTGTCCAAGGAACTTGAACACACAGCATACATTTAATTTTCACGATTTTAATACAGATCACAGGTTGAAACAATTCCCAAGAACCAGTATCTGTATGTACATGAAAGTCAGGGCCTAAGAGGGTCTTAAATTTTATAAAAAAACATTGTAAAATCCTCACTACATCTGAGTTGCATAAAAATCATAAATGATTCTACAAATAATATTAACTAACATTTTTACATTACGCATAACAGCCACACACTTGTGCTAGTGTTTCACATGGATGATCTCATTTAATCTGCAAGCAACCTCATGAAGCAGAAATTATTTTCTACCATGTTACAACAGAGGAAATGGAAGCTTTGAGAGGCTGAATAACTTTCCTGAGGTCCTAAGTTGACCTTTAGCAAAAAAGAACTCAGACACAGGTTTGTGTGACTCTAAAGCACAAGCCTTAGAAACTACAATACGCTAGTAGATATTTTTTTATGCTCAGTTTCTAATTAGAAGTAAAATTTTGTCGTGATCAAGGTATGTTCATTTGCCCATGGGTAACTGATACATAAAAGCTTAGAAGGTGTAACAACATAATAGTTCACCTAAACATCCCCAATTGAGAGTATTCACTAAAGGTGAAGAAAAAAAATCCATCAGCTGTATTATAGAAAGAATCAGATTTCTTTCCAAGGAGACCAGAGTAGCAATATCTCCTGAGGAAAAGAGATCAGTTGCTAGGCAAATACTTGACATGACAATTTTGTGAACTTCCTGTAGTCAAAGGTCAGTATTTACAAGTTGCACGAAGATGCAATTCTGCAGTCTGAAAGGACGCTGGTGTCATTCTTCTGCCCATTTTCCCAACCCTAACTGAGAATACCAATAGAGATATAGATGCAGATTTTTGTACAGAGATGTTTTAACCTTAAGTCGAATTTACAAAGGTATTAAGGATGATGTATTTGACATAAACATTTTTACTTGACTACAAGTCGAAACTTGAATGTTTTTAGGTATATGTTAAATAGACAGGCATGAAAGTTAATGAATGAACTGGAAGTAATAAAATTATGCTGTCACTTGTTGATTCTTATGTAACGTTTTGGCCTGGGAATATCAGGATGACTAAAACAGAGTCCTTGCCTGAAAGAGGTTGAAAGCTCGTGATGAAGCCAATTTCAGCCTTTGAATGTGGATATTAGAATTAAGTTCAGTTGTATCATGATGGAATTTTAGCAAGTGTTGAGATAGTTATGAACTTTGTGTATGAATTCTACTTATGATTTCATCTGTTGTTTCCCTACACTGTTTTTACTGATGTCTTACGTTGTTATGTTATTTTATATTATGTTACACTTGCATATCTGCTGTAAACTTCCTAAAATAGTTTTGGGAATGTGACGATTTTATATATAAAACATAAATAAAAAGAAAGATTTAAAAACTAGTTTAATCCAATACCCATTTGTGATTAAAAAAACACTTGCCAAATTAGGAATAGAGGGACACATCCTCAACTTGATAAACAGCATCTACGAAACACACAGAGGTAACATAGTACTTAATGGTGAAAGACTGCTTTCCCTCTAAGACCAAGAGCAAGGCCAGGATGTCCACTCTCACCACACTTATTAAACATAGTACAGAAAGTTCTAACAAATGCAATAAGGTAAGAAAAAATAAATAAAAATTGGAAATAAAGAAATAAAAATGTCTCTATTTAGAGATGACAGGATTGTTTACATAATAAATCCTAAGGAATCTTCAAAAAACATAATCCTCATAAGACTAATATAAGTGCATTCAGCAAGCTCGCAGCATACAAGATTAATCAATAATAAAAAGTCTCATTTCTATATAGAAATAATGAACATGCAGAAACCAAAATTAAAAGCAAAGTACCATTTACAATCACTCCAAAAAAAACTGAAATACTCATGCACATATTTAACAAAATGTGTACAGGCTCAGTGTGCTGAAAATTACAAAATGGTGATGCAAAAAATAAAAACCAAAAACCTGAACAAATATAAGACTTAGTGTTCATAGATTCTAAGACAGAACATAATAAAGATGTCAAATCTTCATATATTGATCTATTAGCCTAATGCTATTCTTATCAAAATCACAGTAAGGCTTATTATAGACATATATAAGCCTATTATAAAATTTATATGAAGAGGCTCTAGAATAGCTAAAATCATCTTGACAAAGAAGAATAAAGTGGGAGGAATCACTCTACCCAATATTAAGGTTTACTCTACAGCTACAGTTATTAAAACTACATGGTGTTGGTGAAGGATAGACACATAGATCAATAGACCTAGTTGTCCCAATGGTAACATTTAATAAAATTATATAGTATGACAATGTGGTTTAGTATAGTGTATTACACAGAAATATAGTATAAACACAGCACACTATAACCAGGATGTTGACATTGATACAGTCCACCTGTCTTATTTATATTTCTTCTGTTTTACTTGTACTCACTTATGTGTGTGTGTGCCTTTAGTTCTAATTTTATTACATGTGTAAAGTTTATATATCCACCAACACAATCAGATACTGTACAGCTCCACCAAAAATATCTCTCAAGTTGCACTTTTATAACTACACTCACCTCCTGCCTGCATCAAACCCTCTACATCCCATCCCTAACTTCTGGCAACAACAAATCTAAAATTCTGTCATTTAGAAAATGTTATATAAATGGAATAATATAGTATGGAACATTTTGGCATTGGCTTCTTTCTACTCAGCGTAATTCCCTAGAGATTCATCCAAGTTGTTGCGTGTATCAATACTTTAGTTTGTTCCTTTTCATTGTTGAGTAGAATTCCTTGGTAAAGATGTATCACAACTTGCTTAACCAGTCACCTATTTAAGGGTGTCTGGGTTGATTTCAGTTTTTGTCTATTCAAATAAAGCTGCTATGGACATTTGTGTATAGGTTTTTGTGTGAACAAAAGTTTTCATTTTTCTGGAATAAATACACACGAATGCAATTGCTGGGTCATATAGTAGTTGCATTTTCAGTTTTATAAGAAATGGCCAAACCCTTTTCTAAATAGCTGTACCACTTTACAACCTCCCTCCCACCAACCCAACAACATAAGTGATCTAGTTTCTCAGCATCCTCACCAGCACTTTGTATATTGTAAATTCCTTGTATTGTATAGTGTATATTCTAATACAGTCTTCTGGATTCCCAACACCTTGTGCAAGGCCTAGCACAGACTAGTTATACTATAAACATACTTGTATGTTGCTTTAAAATACTGTATACATATGTAAAGTGTAAAACTGGCAAGGAAAAAGGGCGAGGGCATCTATAGCACAGGTTGGGGATGTGACAGAGAGCAGCTTTACCACCTAGTCCTGCTCATAGACTTTGTGCTATAAGAAACTAGAAGCAGAAGGTGGATGCACTTAAACTGCTAGGTACAAAGCTGAAATGTTTTTTTAAGGACTAATGCAAAAAATAAGTTATATGCAACAAATTCTTACTTTATTTATGCATATAATTAATGTTAATATAAAGTGGTACGTAAAATAATCTGAGCTATGCCAGGGTGTTATGCAAGCACTGAGGGAGACCTGGAAAGATAACTCTCCACCTGTTCTCTCTTGTTTTAAGTCCTGCTTCTTGCTGGTTCCCCTTTCTTCCTCCTGTTTGTCCTGTTTCTTCATTTTTATGCTATGAGCCTTTTTCATCCCAGTGTGACCTTAACTTCACTTCTCTTCTTTCTGATTTCATGATTTCCTTTAATGAAATGTTCTTTTCTCCTGAACTGTCAGCTCTCCCTCCTAAAACTTTCTCTAAAACTCTCTTTCGGATTAATCTTCATAAATGTATCCTACTTAGGTCTTAAAGTAGACTACCTTGGATGAAATTCAGTCTGCTTGGGGAAGCGAAGTAGAAAGAGCTGCTGGACAATTTCGTCTGCATGTCCTGTTAACTATTTTACTTTAAGCTTTTCCATCTCCCCTTGATTTTCTCTTGGCACAGAACTCTCCCAATTATGCTCATTTTTCTTTTTTCTGTCAAGGCTTCTCTGTTTTCCCATAACCACAGACACTTTGTGTCTCACTGTTATCACATTCTACCGGTGTTGTATCACTTTTTGTCTTATTGCACCCTTGAAAATATGAACTTTCAGGGAAGGTCCATAAATTATTCATATCCAAAAGTGCCTTACACAGTGCCGGGCACGTTGAATGATTATCAAATGAATTAGCACGTTATTAGCATGCTACTGACTTCAGTTTAGCAGATTTGTTTCGGCCCAAAGCATTTTCTATTATATTTTCCAAATTGGTGACCACTGAATGAATTATTAAAAGTAAACCTGTGAACCCTATAAAGTATAGTAACCTACTAGGATAAGAAAGGACTTACAGAATTAAAGAATTGTGTTCAAAGCTTGCTTGCAGTGCTGGCCCCGTGGCTCACTCAGGAGAGTGTGGCGCTGGTAGTGCCAATGCCGCGGGTTTGGATCCTATATAGGGATGGCCGGTGTGCTCACTGGCTGAACGTGGTGCAGTCGACACCAAGCCAAGGGTTGCGATCCCCTTCCCGGTCCAAAAAAAAAAAAAAAAACCCTGCTTAACTGCTGTCTACAATGAGATACAGAATTCTTTCACATTTTAATTCACCCAAATTGGCCAATGTGGCATTTCGGTCACTTTTATTCATTCCAGATCCAAGTTATGGATGAAAAGACTTTGGTGAGGACTATTGTATCTGGCATCATTCATTCATGAACATAGGCTATATATTAAGGTTTCAGTGTTTTCTGATGCAAAATATAGAGAGATCACTGTTTATTTTAACATTATAACAGGAATAGTGATATCTCAGTGGGAAACCAAAATGTGTTTGGAACTCAGCCTCAGTTTTCTCAGCCTCCTCAGCATCCTCAAGCTAACACAAGTTGATACCAAATGCTGTAACTAAAAGTCCTATCTTCATCTACATATTTTTCATTCCTCAAATGCCTGTTCCAGGTGTTTGCTAATGTGCAAAAAGTCACTTCTCAATGTTTTCTATTTTATTTTTTTTAAATCTTCAAACGTTAGAAATAAAAATGTTGGTTTTCAGAGATTTAAAAATGTGTATGTGTGTGGTTTTGTGTGTCTTCCTCCCAAGTTCAGAAATAAAACTAAAGAAACACTGGGGGGTGGGGGGAGTTTTTAAAAGAAGGCAGAAAGACCCAGATAATCAGCATGTTATTAGAGAGGGTGTGCCCACAGCCACAAGACCTCATAGGGAGAGGCTGGACATTCAGGATGTTTACAAGTAAAAGTAGAAGGTGGAAAAAGTAGAATACACAAGGCCCAGTGTCCTGAGATCCTGGCATTGAATGAAGCCCAAAATAATTACTACCTCTAAAGGAGGGGCTCTGGTCCACACAGTGTCCTTGTTAAAATAGATAAATAATAAATTAATACATAACTAAGCAGCCCATCTAAATAAATAAATTAGTCGTATAGAGCTATTTATTTATATAGATAATACTTGTGTTTTTTCTTCTGCTTCCACCCTAGGTCACCAGCTCCCTAATAATCAGGAGATTTTATTCGCCAAACCTGCAAGCCATGTGGTGAGGGCAGAATCCTGATTTAAAGCGGTCCATAACACTAATCCCCACAATTAATAGAGAAATAGAAGCTGGTGCCCAAAGGCAACATAAAATATTAATATATATACACATATATATTCTTTATTTTTAAGGACTTCTCGCCAGCTGCAGCAGGGGACGCCCACAAATTTGTCTGGCTTCATCTGCACCTTGACAGGGAAACCAAGACTGAACTTGTCGGAAGCTGAGCGGGACTTGGCCAGCGCCAGGTGCTTGGAGACAGCGCCCCTGAGCAAGAGTGGAGACTGGAGACTAAAAGGTGAAAGAAAGGGTGAGAAGCCAGGGGAAACAGCTCCAAAGCCCGGGAACGCGATTTGACAAGAGTCAAAGCCAAGGGGAAAGTTTGCTCCGGACTTCGCCTGCGCCGTGCGTTTGCAGTCATTGAGGAGCTGACTTCGGCGGAGAGAAGGTGGCCAGCCTAAAGGGGGCAGTCTCGCGGGGACGAGACTGGTGCGACGGGTCTCCAGTCTTGCAAGGTTTGCTGGCCCCTTTCCCCTAATCGTGCAAATCTCAGATCCCCGAGGCCGCCCCTCCCCGACCCGGGCCCGTCCGGCCCTGCTGCCTGCCGCCCTTACCGAGCCAGAAGTGCAGGCGGTAGGTGAAGCCTCGGCTGGCCTTGGCGGTGTGCAGCACCAGGTAGGCATCCCCGACGTAGAAGTCGCCGTACGCGCTCTCGGGCACCGGCACCAGCTCCAGCTTCTCGATCCTCCAGACCTGCAGCCCCGCCTGCTTGCCCGCCCGGGCGAACTCCTCGTGGTACAGCTCCTGGGCCATGGCTCCGGTATGCGATGCTGCTGGGGGCGCGGGACCTGGCTGACCTGGCAGTCGGACTAAACCGAGACCGGCGAGAGGGACCCTGTTCGCCGCGATTTTATAAGGTTCGTCCTCCAGGGAGGCGGCGCCCAGAAACGGGTGGGGCTAAGTTGCTCCAGAGGATGCGATCGCTTCCCAAAGGGGGCGCAGCGCCCGCTTGCACGCTCCCACCACCTTCCCCAGGCCAGGGGGGATCGGCCTCCCAGGAATCCTGAGATTTGGAGGAAATTTGTAGAAACTCGTGGAAATGCCTCCCCCAAGGAAAGGCATTTTTCCTGGTAACGGAGGTTAATAATTAAAACTTCCCGACCCCCCCCCCCCCCCCCCCCCCCCGCACACCATTCTGCAGTTATTTCTCCTCCCCTAATCCTGTTATTTCTGCCTCTCGGTTGTGCCTGGCAGGAGAGATGAGGTGAGGAAAGAGCGCACCAACTTTAGAACATCTCTCCAGGAGGGGCAGGCAATACCTGTTCTTTCTGACCGTCTAGAATAATTCTTAGAACAAGACCTCCTCTGCTGACAGCAGCACCTGCCTTTAGGGGTGTAGTGTCATTGTGCCACATTGCATGTCAGAGGAATTTTAATATGTCTTTTTTTAAAAAAAAAAAAAAATGGCTTTCCAGGTAACTGTCATTCTAATCATCAACTCCATCCTTTCATTGGCCAGTCTCTCCGTTCCTGATGGCGAAGTTTCTTTCTGCCTTGATCTTCCTATCATGAAAATACCATGAAAAACAACATGCCAGGTTTCTTGGAAAGGCTGACAACCTGGAAGACTGGCTGCCCCACCCCGGGGACTGAACTCTGTATTTCCCCAGGAGTTCAGGAGCTGTAGTTAAGCTCTCTTGCCACCTGCCTCCTTTGGTCAAGAAAGTTACTGAAAAAAACAGCAGCCTCCCTGCATGGGTGTTCTCAGGCAGAGCAGTCTGTGGCTATAATTTTATGCTTGGCCTGCCTTTTGAAGTACCTATTACCTGGTTTCAGGGTACTAATTTTCTCACGTATTGCCTATAGTTTTTGCTTTTGCAGCACGGGCAAAGCACTGTAGAATACACGTGGAAAATTGCTCTTTGAATTCATTTGATAGAAGCTGGTATAGCAAAGTATTCTACTTTTATTAAAAAAGCAAATCACTCAGGATGTGAAGAGTAAGAAAGCTGATTTCATGCATGTAAATCTCCTTTCATTTTGTTTCCCAAATTACAAGATTCCCTGTAAAGTCACAAATAGTGTACAGTCAGATGTTTTCTTAATTAATTTGTGTTTAAAAATAGATATCATGTGACCATGGTGAAAAACTCAAAGGTACAAAAGGTGTGCGATAAGAATTTGTCTTCATTTTTCCACCCTGCCACCCAGTTCTTTCATCAAAGGCAACCAAGTTACCCGTTCCTTATACATTTTTCCAGAGATGTTCATTTATCTACACTGTTCTGAATCTATCTATTTATCTGTATGTGTGTGTGTGTGTGTGTGTGTGTGTGTGTGTATTTGTCTTGATATCAGGAGGGACTTGGAAAACCTCCTGGAAATACCTACTCCAAGGAACGACATTTCCTTTTGGCAACAGATGAGGAAATAAATGTGTGTTACACAGTATTCACAGAGGTATCTCTTTTTACTGACCATATAGGCATTTCAATTTTGTCTGTATTTTGCTAATACAATGTTGTAAACATTTTTGAACATGTTTTACTATGCCCATGCATTATTGTAACTGTGAGATAAATTCCTATAAATATAATGGCTAGAGTGATTGGAATTAAATAGTTTTGATGATGGTGATGATAGTTATGAAACCAGTTCACTACCATTTACTGATCTTTGATAGGGTTATGGTATGCAGTGCCTTGACTCAATTCCTGCCTCCGCTCTTAGTTTTGAGGCCTTCCACAAGTCACTTACCTATGGCAAGCCTCAGCTTCCTCATCTGTAAAATGGAAAAATAATAGTATTCACCTTATAAGATTGTTATTTAGATTAAAAGAGTTGACACAAATAAAGCATTTGTGTCTGTTATACAGAAAATGGTCATTAATTACTTGTAGGAGTTGTGATTATGTCACTGTGAGCTTATTTTTGCTTGTCTAGATCTCTTCTCCATCCTTCTGCAACCTGCTTGTTTTCCCTTGAGTCTGACCTATATGGGCTAAAGCAACTGGGCTCTGATGCCCTCCAGCTTGGGGTTTGATTGGAGACCAGAGGGAGACAGAAGAGTCAGGTCAAAGTATTTGTTTTCTTGGCTCCTTCCACTAAAGTCACTGTACCTTTAAAGGCAAATAGCTCTATGTGACTTTCTCTCTCCCTTTGGGTTACAGAAACCACCTTCTCACATGTATTATCCCTTTTGGTTTCTCTGCTCCTCTACTTCTATATACTATAGCATCTTTTTAAAAAATTTCCTGAAATTTTTCTATTCTGTATGTGTTCTCTGTTGTAGGTTGAGATCCTAACTGATAAATTTTATTAGCTGCAGTCTCTCTTTTTTTCTCCTAGCCAAAACAATGAAAGGTAGGTATGATAAGCCTCATTTTACAGATGAGGAAACAGGCTTTGGGACTTGTCGCATGTCACCCAGCTGGTGAATAGCCAAAGGGGAATTCAAACCCACTCCCTTCAATTCAAAGGCACTTGTTCTTTTCAAAAACTTATTCTCTCAATCCAAATTATTTGGCCAAGCTTTTTTCATATATATATATATACTTTATATTTTTATTTTCTTCCACCTCGTACACAGAGAAGCTTTTGATCTGGTGTTCCCATGCAGCACTAAGAAATTTAGTTTTAGCTTTGTCACTGAGCCATTATATGCCTTGGTTTCTTTATTTGTAGAGTGAAATCATTTGTTCTCTTCTCCCTCTAGGGAAAAAAATATGAGAACTGGTGCTCTGGACTTAAAATAATTTAAAAATCAGAGCTGTCACTTATATTCAGTTTCAATTTTGATAATAATTCCTTTCCTGAAGAAATAAAAAGGAACTTTGGTATACATGAAAGTAAAATTCCTTCTAGCACAGACCAGGACTAGGGTGAGGCAAGTGAGATACATGCCTGGGATCCAAAATTTAAGAAGGCACCAAAGAAAACTCAGCAATAAAGACAAATACTGTGTTAAGGCAGTAGTTTTAAAAATCAAAATTAATGCAAAAAATTATTATGAAAAACAACATTTCACATAAAGGAAAAATTGTTAATAGTGTTGTACAGGGCTGTACTGGAGGCTGAGGCAAAGGAAAAATACTGAACTTGCTGTTACTAAAAATTTGTATAGGTATAACATTTTTTGCATTAATGTTTGTATTTTTAAAAGTGTTGCATTAAAATACTATTTATCTTGATTACTCTGTGTTTGTGTGTTGCCATCCACTTATATTTTCTGCCTGAGACAAGTGCCTTACTCTCCTGACCCCAGTCCTGTTCTGGCTTAGTGACCTCCAGAATCAGACTTCCGCCTTCCTGCTAGACCTAGCTGCCTAATTGATCCTGCCAAGGTCAAGTACAGCATACTTCTAAGAATCTCATCATTTCCTCCAAACATGCCTCTTGTATTTTTTTCTGATTTCATTAATAGCATCGTTTAATTTTGACCCAGCACTCTCACTTCATCTCCATCTTCAATCAACAAGACTGTTCAAAATGTTTCTCAAATCCATCCCCCTTCTTGCTTATGCTCCAATTTCCATCTTCCATGGAGATATGCAGTGAAAGTGGAGTGGCCTAGTTTACAATATGGCTTTAATCTAGGTTAAATCCTTGATCTTGCACTCTCCAGCTGATTGAGCTTGGGCAGGTTCTTAACATTATTGTGCCTCAGTTTTCTCATCTGCGGAATGGGAATATTGATAGAAATTACCTCGGAGGATTGTCATGAAAATTAAATGGATAAGCAAATATAAACCTGGAGCAGTCCTGGCACATAGTAAGTGGCAGTAAAGTCAACTCAGACTGACGAGTGAATGCTCTTCTCCAAATCCCATCTTATGTTTCCAGAATCTACTTCAGGTAAGGACTACCTATTTCCTATACAAACAAGGCTTCCAAAACCAAGTGTCAGTTTTCTTTTCATGCTTTTATTCTTTCTCTCATACCCTCTTTTTTCTAAAAGTAAATAATTTTCTTCCTTTTGTGTGTTTGCCCTTCTTCCATATCTGTCTGTTGAAGTTTTCTAAGTTTTTATGATCTAATGAAAGGTTCACATCTTCATTATCATTATCCCCCTGGATCCATTAAATTGAGGTAATGTATTGCTTTCTCTCTTTGATTACAAGGGGGCTCAACTTCTCTACTAAACTATAAGAGAAAAATTACCTCTGAAAATAGTTTTTTTGGTTTTTGTTTTTTTTTTCTAAAAAGATGACCGGTAAGGGGATCTTAACCCTTGACTTGGTGTTGTGAGCACCACGCTCACCCAGTGAGCAAACCGGCCATCCCTATATGGGATCCGAACCCGTGGCCTTGGTGTTGTCAGCACCACACTCTCCCGAGTGAGCCACGGGCCGGCCCGCCCCTAATGCTCTTGATATGCTCTTACGTTACAGCAGTTACCACACTCTGAAGTGTGCTTTCTCTCAGAGGATCACAGGCTCACTTAGAGACTTAGGTCTCATTATTTTATTCCTGGCTTAATGGTAATACATGCTGAGTAGGTATGACTGAATTGTTAGTTTGGGACTCAATTACATTTGTTTTTTAAATCAATTTACCAAGATTCAGGAGGTTTCAGGTGTGGAGGTTTGTGGTTGAATTCAAGGTAGGCGTTCTAGAATGTTAACACTCAAGGGGAAATGTTGCATAGTTTAATTCTTGAAATAAACAACAATGTCAAATAATGCAAATGATTTATTGTGCAATTTATTAGAATGAGTTGGTGAGGGCTGGCCCGGTGGCGCACTGCTACAGTGCGCCGCTTGGGAAGCGCGGTGGCGCTCCCGCCAAGGGTTCGGATTCCACATACAGACCAGCCGCTCACTGGCTGAGCGAGGTGCGGGCGCAACACCGAGGGTTGTGATCCCGTTGCGAGTCCCGGTCCGGTATGGGCGCGACACTGAGGGTTGCGATCCGT